CCCCCCCCCCCCGGCGAAAAAAAAAAAAAGCAAGGCCGACATGACTTACTGTGTAGTAGTCTACACGTTAAGGGAAATCACGACAAGCCCTCGCATGCAAGTGTTTGGCACCCAGTGTAATCACGCCCCGATCCTTGTAACTCTATTTCCTCCTTTTGCCCCTCTACCTACCACTCGCGGTTCCTCCCCTGCCGCTCTCCGTCCTGCACATGTCACATTTATAGCCCAGTTACCGGCCCAGTCACGGGGCCAAATACGGGCCCAGTTACAGGCCCACTTGGCCCAGCAGCAGCAGGAGCTTGCGTGTGATACGCGGTGCCAACTGCAGGCCCTCCTGCAACCTTTCCCTGCTTCGTCGCATACTCCCCTTGCTCCTACTTCTGTTTCTGCTTCTCGGTCTATTCCTTCATTTACCCGCTTTCCTTGCCGCACATGTCCTCCCACCCACCTGCCTTCCCCCGTTTTCTCCCTCCCCCTTCCTCTGTTCCCCTACGGGTGGGCGTTTACGCCGACGCTGCTCAGCGCACCATTGCCGCAGTCCCACGGTCTCCCACGGGTCACCCTGGACTTTTTCTTTTTTTTTTAAATACCAAAATGCCCCAAAATATTATACAAGTTGGCCTCATTTTCATGAGAAATTAGAGACCGGGTCTTTGATTTCTGCGTGATGGTCCCAGCTGTGATCGCTCTTCTATAGCATGCTCCATTCACTTGTTGGATGTTCATTTTTGCGAAGAAAAAAAAAAGTAGTTCTAATAATTTCACCCAACAAATTTGCAATCAGACTCGTTTTCTTTCACACTCACATGCATGCAAACAGGCGCACAGCAAACTGGCGCATCAGTGCCCACACAGAACTCAGAGATATGGTCTCCGAAACCACAGTCCAGATACAAGTTCACTTTCGATGGCTATGGCGACTCAGCGCCCAAACAACTCTCTGTTCGCATACGCCGGATCACCCTGGATATCCCACACGCGATACTCTGCACTCACACACAAACACACACTAACACGCTACACACTAACTAAAGCTATGGCGGCAGTGTCCGCCTCTACCCTATCGCTATGCTACGCTCCTTCTCTCTCGCCCACTTCAGCTCCGGGCTCACTGCAGACCTCCTTGCACAAGTCGCTGTGGCAGCGCTTCCGCATGGCTCACGCAGGAATGAATGAATGGCTGGGCGCTGCCTCTTGAATTTATACTTCTGGAGCTCGTTGGTCTGCCCCTTTCCATTGGCCCATGGTGCACACAGTCCCTCATGGTACTTGCTGGACCGGACTGGGACTGACTGGACTGCACCGCTGACTACATGGGGACGCACTGCTATCCTACCGCTACCGTACTGCGAACGTACTGCAGTTGGTCCACCACTTGCCCACTTGCTCGACCTTCTAGAAGGACTACAGCTAAGACTTCTGGAACTCACTAAGACTTCTATTCGACCTGTCTCTTATACACATCTAGATGTGTATAAGAGACAGGGTGCACACAGTCCCTCATGGTACTTGCTGGACCGGACTGGGACTGACTGGACTGCACCGCTGACTACATGGGGACGCACTGCTATCCTACCGCTACCGTACTGCGAACGTACTGCAGTTGGTCCACCACTTGCCCACTTGCTCGACCTTTTAGAAGGACTACAGCTAAGACTTCT